CCTAATAGAACCTTATAGAATCCTATAGAAACTAATAGAAACTAGTAGAATCTTCTAGAATCTTCTAGAATCTTCTACTTATAAATCAATCTAGTATAGTAAATTAGGTTCCTAATAAGTCTTTCTAGCTAGCTTATATAATATAGCTTATATAAGCTACGCTATTTCTAAATAGGAAAGCTATAGAAGCTTATCTAATCTAAAGAAAGTTCCATTTCCTTACAATTAATAATATCTAAGTAAGAAGTCGCCTTCTAATTATATTATAATCTAATTAGCTCGCTTACTAGTCGCCTATCTTACTAGCTAATAGAATAGTTTTTTTTAGATAGGAGAATTTAACTTAGTAACTACCTAGTCATACTAGCTTTTCTGTAAGAGTAAAGGGCTAGCTATTTAAGCATTTAGGACATCAATTTCTCGATTTTCATCCTATAAGCTGCAATAGATATAGCTGGGCCGGACAGGTTGAAGCCTAATAGGTGTGTAGCAGAAAACTCCGAAGATAATTAATTAAGACATAAACGAGTATTTGTTAAGCTACTAATCGTATTTAGCTAATTTATCCCTAGCTAAAGCCTTCTTCCAAGAGATTACTAATAAAAATGAACCGTGCGGATTATTAGTCAGGCAGGCTAAGCTGAACAATATCATGACACTAAGAGGCTGCTAGCTCAATAAACGCACTGCTAATTCCCAGTCTAGACCTGGCCCAACCAATCCAATCATGGGGTGTAATCGTGGATCGGAAATGAGTGAGTCGCATCTATAATGGGGGTCCCGTTGGGTAAAGAGTAAAAGACCCTAGTCCATTGGACGTCGGTTGACTGTATCGTCCTGGCTACCGCGTAGCCCATGATCGACAAAGAATTCCGAGCTCCGAGTAACACGGCGGGTGCTGTTTCGGTGTCTGCAAACTCGTGTCGCAACCCCATGATGTGTCCGAGCTCATGCTGGAAAGAATTTTGCATTCGAGCCAACCCTGCTGGTGTGAAAGATGCCGAATACACGAGCACCTGGTTCCCGCCCCGCGGTTTGGGGAAGAACGCCATGGCTGCGAAACCCGGCTTGTCACCGCCGTAGACCACTTCGAAAGTCGCCTCGGCTGGATTCGTGGTCCACTGGAACCTCACCCCGATATTCTGCGCATTCCACGCGGATGCTGCAGCCCACATCGTGTCGCTGATCAATTGTCCTTGTCCTCCTGGCCATCCGCCGAAATACGATATGTATTTGATGACGCTGCCTGGGTAATACCGTGGACATTCGTTGTTGAAGCCGACGAAGATATGGAGTCTCTCTTCGTGACCCATGTCCTTGGTTGCCGTGTGTTCGATTGGCTGTGTTAAGCATTGACAGACGGGTGCCGTTTCTTCGATCGGTCTCACGGCTACCCCGGCCACGTCCTGACCAGTCGCACATTTGAGGTTATCGGCTCCTTCCGCTGCAGCGTCCGTTGCTGCACCCGCTGGTTTGTCTGTGGGTGTCGCGGCAATCCCAAATAGGGGCTTGTTGCTCTCCATCGTCGGTTATATTCGTTGAGTATTCGATTCTGATATGCTGAGTTGTGCTGGGTGGTATTTGGGGTGCTTGGGTAGTAGATTTCGAGAAAGAAGTCAGAGAGGCCGTATAGCCTGTAGGTCTTCGATAACAGAGGAGCGGCAGTCTTATATATCGCAGCCTGATGTGAGACACTCAGTGTTAGTTGCCGGAGACGACGACTGTGCTCAGATGGTTATACCTCTAGTAGTACTAGCGATCTGGTAGAGGGAACAGGCAGATACTTATAGACGCAATGACCACAATCAATCAATCGATCTTCCAAAGCTACACGTGACTAGCTGAATATGCTCAAGCGATCTCTCACATTGCTGGCACATAAAGGTCTCACCTTAGTTAGCATGCCCCGATCTTTTGGTTGGCGCAGCTTCTCTAATTGACCAATCAGTACCAAAAGATTGCCTTGCCCGAACAGTGATAGGGTGCGTCGACACGAGATATGTTACGAATGAGTTCAACATCCTAAATAGTTAGTGTGCTTGAGCTGAAGGTGGTTGATCGAAGTGACTGGGATTTACAGGCAAAGGGGTCATCCTGACGCTGCGATCCCGGATCCATTCGAAGCATTAGTCTTTCGGAAAGCTGCTGACTCTCCATGCGGGTGATGCTAAAGGCTCGTCAGCCAGTAAGGTGTCAACACCAGGTTGCTCGGAGTGGCCGGCTGATGACTTAGGCCCACCAAATGGGCGAACTTGGTGGTTGCACGTTTAAACGAGCTGGTAGTCAGCAAGTGTCAGTGCCCTAAACACCGTCCCTAGGCTGCAGCCCATGGTCTGAGCTGTGTCGAGCGTCATACGAGACTCATGTTCCTTCAAGTAGATCACACCACGAAGGTGAACTTGCCATCGACCACATGTTTACCACAATTCGGGGGACTGTCCCGAAGGCAGCCGTGCTATTTTCATGGCCCTGCTGGTCCTGCCGCGCCACAGGACACCCGTCGCCTATTTCGGGCTCGTAAACTGAGTTACTGAAAGAGTGGAGGCTCGCTCAGCCTTGTTGTTGCAGGGGTAGCTGCATATAAATCGGTCAATAACGAAGGAGTGCAGCGAAGTGAACTGAGCTGTGTTCCACAACTCAGAGCTCCCATCCAGAGAAAACGTTGTATCTCGGCGCCGGGCCTTCTATTAGATCCAATGCTTCCGTCGATCACACGCCATGCCTCGAATGCAAGGAAGAGATCCGCGAAGTGGCTTGGTAAGGTGAGGGTTTGACGTGAAGCTGGTCATGGGGTTAGTCCGAGATTGACGCTCAAGTGGACTCCAGATGTTGAGCCAAGGGGGTTGGTGAGAGGTGCTTCGGGACGATGCCCTTCTCCACCATCATGCGTTCCAGGTGCATTTATTTCAGCTACGGCTGAAGACGCCTCCTGCCTTTTGGAAGATCGAGACCGTCGTCGATTCCTGATCAGGGACGAGGCAGACTCGCCTGGCATTTGCTGTCAGCCTGCAGTGGCCCACCTCTCCTCTCACCTCCTCTCCCGTGTGCTCGGAAAGTGAAGTCGTTGCCTGGCTGCTTGGCAGTTGCTTGGCCGTTGCAGGCGGGGGTCAAGTTGCTCACGTGCCTCGCATTCGCAGTCAGCACGGCGGGTCCTTTGTCCATTGTCCATTGTCTATTGTCTATTGTAGAATCCTCTGGTACTGTGGCATCCCCGCCGCCCTCGAGCAGTTTTCAGCTCCTGCATCTTCCTAATACCACACCTCATGCGGAAGAGTCTTGCAAGCCCGTCGGGATACGAAGACAACTCAGCCCTATAATGTCGCCGGACGTCGGCTCTTCTGTTCCGACCCTCCAACACGGCCGGCCCAGACGCAATCGATCCTGTTTAAGGAACCCGGACCCGTCAGTTAGCCTTTCTCTTACCTAATAGATTAGTTGCTTTCCGTTTAGAAATTGACTATAGGGCGCTAATCTTCTCGGGGCGACATAGTAAAGAGAAGAATAGACAGGCAGAATTCAACATATAACTAAAAACTAATCTTTCCGTAAGACTTTTTTAGCTAAGAAGAATAGTTAGCTAAATAAAAGCACTTTAAAGTATAAAGTTACCTAATAAGACTATCTTTTAAAGTAGCTATTAATTTTTTAAGTCGATCTACAAAATATTATTACTATTATAATAAAGATAATATTTACTATTTATCTTATATTAAGAAGTAAATAGAGTCTTAGTTTTCTTATTATAGTTTAATATTAAGTTCTCTAGAAAATTCTTTAAGTGCGGCTGCATCTATTTAAATACCTTTTCTCTAAGATATATTATAATAAATATAACCTTATTCTTTATTTAGAATTATTCTTAGTTATACTAGATATATAGATTGTACTAGAGTAGAAATAAATTAAGTTCTCTTCTATTTCTATAGTGTTTACCTAGAGTCTTAATTTTAATAAGCTTAATAACAAGAGTCTAAGCTATCTATCTATATATAATAAGGCGTTATTATACGATAATAAAGTTACTATAAAGATTAGAATCCTAATTAAGAAGAATAGAAATAGTGCTAATATATAATTAATAAGTTAAGAATAAATATCACGTAGTAATATTAAGTTAAATTATAAAGAATACTAGATTCTTATTTGAGTTAAGTACTCTATTCTAATAAATAAGAATAGTATCTTTTATATACTATAGTAGCTTTCTACTAAAATTCCTTAAATTAGTATAATTAGTACTAATTATACTAATTCTACTAATTACTTCTAGCTTTAATAGTGTTAAGTTATTAGTTATTATATAACACTTAGCACTTATTACTTTTTTTTACCCACCCTTATAACCTAAATTTATAATACTATTCTCTTTTCTTATAGCTTTTATCTTAAAAGGTATATTAGCCTTTTATTTATAATAAATAAAAGGTTTCTAGATCTAGAATAGCTAAGAATACTATTAAAAGACCTTCTTTTACTATCTACTATTATAATCGTATTACTTATCTATATTCTAAGAGTTCTATTATACTTATACTATATAGTTATTATAAAACTAAGTCTTTAAGTTTTAAGATAGACCTTTATTCTAGTTATTATATAGAATATATCTATTCTAGTACCGCTTGCAATTTAGTAGTTACCTATAAAAAGTAGGAGAAAATAGTAGATATTACGAACCGCAACGTATAATGCGGAATAGAAGTAATTAGTGCTAAGTATTATATAAGAAACTAATTACTCAGGAAGCTAAGAAAGCCTAAGTAGTAGAATTAGTATAATTAGTCCCTAATTATACTAACTAGAGAGATTATAGCTTAGGCGTATTAAGTATATAGATAGTACTATTTCCGTTTATTAGGAATATATACTTAACTCAAATAAGAATCTAGTATTCTTTATAATTTAATCTAATCTTACTATATAATATTAATTCTTATCTTATTAACTATATCTTAGCACTGCTTTCTTTCTCTTTAATTAGAATTCTAACTATTACTATAATCTTTATTATCTCGTAATAGCATCTTGTTATAGTAGACTAATAAAAAGAACTTTATTATTATCTTAATAAGGCTAAGAGAGCTTTATTAGATACTATTATATAGTATTTATAATTAAAATAAGAATAGTCGGCGCTTAAAGCTTAGTATACTAATATTTTTACTTGTAAGCTTACTTCTATTAAGAAGATAGAGTACTTTAAGTTAGCTTAAAACTAGTCTAGTGGTAATACTTTAATAGAGTTTTTCAATCTAATACTCTTTAATTTCTTGAGTATTCTAGTAATATCTTCTTTAATCTAAAGTATTTTAGATAGACTCTTTTTGTTATTCTTTAATTATATCTTCTATAAGCTCTAACTTCTTAAGGTAATTCTTTATATCTTATTTATATCTATTAAGGTTAGTAAGTAGCTTCTATATATTTTCTAAGTCTAGGTAGCCTTTCTATTTTATAAGGTATTACTATATAATATTATCAAATTCGGTGCTATTACTTAAGATTCTTTATACTTTATATTATTCTTCTTATTCTATTAGATAATTATCTAGTACTTTTTCTAATACTAGTACTTCTATAGAAGCTAGTTCTAATAGTAAAATATAAAATACTAGTTGTGTTTTTATTTCTTTTAATAGATTAAGCTTATAGCTTATATTCTTAATATTTCTAATAATTTTAAAAGATTCTATTCTGACGTAATCTAATTTCTTACTTAGCTTTATTATCTTAATATTTTTCTAGAGAAGATAAACTCTATTTCTTTCTTTAAGTATAGATTCTCTAAATCTATATCTTACTAATCTATAAGTGGGAAAAGCGCCTCGAAATCGGAAAATTAGTATTTTCTAAATCTAAATTCCAGAGTTTCAATTCCTTGGAAAATGGAAAATACTTAGAAAATAGCTTAATACACTATAAGATAGGCTATTTTAGAGATAACTTAGATAGGTTACTAATTCTAGATAGTAACTAGGCTTTATTATTAGGTTTTATATAAGAAATCTAGCTTTAGAATAAATCCTAACTAGAAGAAAGCCTTTTTAATTTTCAAGACCACTAAGATACTAATTCTTAATCTAAAAATCCTTATCTAGTAGTATTAGTAAGCCGTTCTATAACTAGTAGCTATTAATAGAATACTCTAGAATTCTAATAGCTATATATATATAAAATATATATCTAACTAACTATATTAAGAGAAAATAAAAACAAATATCTATTTAAGAATAGTATTAAGAAATATTAATAGAACGTTCTAGAACTACAATAAATATTATATAAATATAAATATAAATATAATATGTTTTCTACTAGCTGTATTAAGAGAAACTAATAAGAAATACATATTTAAGAGTAGTAATAAGAAATATTAACTAAACATTAGTATCTATAACTAGTACTAAGAAGTATAATAGATTATATAATCTACTACTCTACTAATAGAGAATAACAAGAATAATAAATTTAAGAATATTATAGAAATACTAATATAATATTCTTAGATAGAGTATTATATTAGTATTATATTCTACTAAAGCTAGTTAAATAGATATAACTAGTAATACTAGACTAGATAATAATAGTTTATAATAATTATAACTATATAGCATTTATAAAGCTAGACTAAGTAAGTATAGCCTAATAAGTAAGACTATATATAAAATTAGTAATACTAGACTAAGTAAGAATAGTAAAATAAGTAGATTAGTATATATAAGTAAAACTAAACTAAGTAAGAGTAGCTTAATAATTAAAACTATATATATTAATATATATTAGTAGCACTAGACTAAGTAAGAATAGTATAATAGTTAAAACTATATACTATTAGTAACACTAGATAAATTAAGAATAATCTAAAATATAAACTATATATAATAGTAACACTAGCTCTAGTGAGAACAGTATATTAATTATAGTTATATATAAGTAGTAATACTAAGTAGTAATACTAGACCGAGTAAGAATAATGTAATAATACTAATTATATATATATTAAGACGCGTCAGATTATAAGTACTATATTAACTATAGTATTTTACAAAGAGCTATATATAAGTAGAAAGATATATTTATAAATACAGAGTTTAGGTTGCTTAGTAACTAGCTTCTTATTAGTTACCTATAAAGATAGAGATAGTAGTAATCTAGTAAAGCTATAATATAGATTTTATTATTATTATTATTACTATCTATAGCTAGAAGTAGATAGTAAGTTATCTAGAATAACTACTATACTCTATAGCTTTCTCTAGAATATAAGCCTAGCTATATAGCCGTTTATAGTAATATATTTATAATAGAATACTAGTTAGAGTAAGCTAGTAGTACTAGAAATTAATCTAGGCTATAGTAATTTCAGTTATAGATAATAGAGTTAATAGAAATAATAGTGAAGATAAACTAGATTATATAAGCTAGCAAGTATCTAGACACTCTTTTATTAATAAATAATTTTATAAAAAGCTATAGTGTTATAGATTATATATAAGAAGTAAAGATTGAAGGTAATAATATATATAAAGTAAGCTAGAGAATGCTCTAGAATATACTAACTCTATTAACTATACTAACCTACTATAACTTAGCCTTAAGAGGTAATTTTGCCCGCTACAAAAGAGAAAAGCAAGGATGTAGGATAAATCGCATCTTCTTCAGATTATATAAGTAATAATTTCATTGTTTTGCAACTTTTAGACTATGAATCTTTCTTTTATAGATACAAACTCTGAATAAAAGATCGAGAGGCATAATAACTATTATACATATGTAACTGCTACACTTTGGAAGTCCGCGAAATACGACACCAATTATAGCCGAACTTTAAGGCCGTAAAAAAAATTGCATGCCGATAAGTAGTAGTAGTCGATTAAACTAACGCGAGGAAAAAGCGACATTAGCTTCATCCTAGCCACCTGTGTCCGTACTAACAAACCGTCCTTCAGCAACTGTTCTGTTAATATCCTCAGTCCGGCGTACATTCTGCAGCTTCTAAAGTTTAATACACTCGCCAGGCGACCGCGAACGGCTGCTGATGTCTCACGATGCGCTCCGCGCGCACCTTGATGCTGTACTGACCCGCCAAGACTCCAGACCATGCAACTTGCTCAACGTTGTTGACGCGGTCGAAACCCGGCATCTCGCCCATGTTTCCGTGCCGCTCCGTCCCTTCCGGTGCAGTAACTGTCAGGTCCAGATCATTCTGCAATTTGGCACCCGGAGGATCAGTCCAAACAAGGGTGACTTTGAGTTTACTGGACTGCCCGGCACTGTTCGCGCTGGGAACAGAGATGGAGAAATTGAACTCTTCGTCGTCTAACAAGGGGCGTGCTCCCTCGCTAAATCCTGCGTTCTTCGCTTCAGGAATGATAACAGAGTCCTGGAGGTTCACCCGCCCGAAGCCGGAGTTGTTGTTGGGTGATGGCCCGTCTTCTTTGGGGGTGTATTGTCCCGGGATATCGACCGCTCCGTTGAGGAGTAAGGCTTTGATAAGTGCAGCTGAAGGCTTCTTGACGCCGTTTTTAACAAGGGTTTCGCGGAGCACGGCACAGCATCCTGCAACCAGAGGGCAGGCCATACTTGTCCCTGCGCTGTACCACCAACGAGGATCATCCGAAACGCCCCAAAACTGGTCGTCGGAATGGTCAACAACACTAGAGCGTGCGGAGAGGATCGCAGTACCAGGTGCAACCACGTCTGGTTTGTATCTGCCGTTTCTTGTTGGACCGCGGCTGCTAAATGCAGCCATGCCGTCCGGATCATTCGCCATATGGTCGTTTTTGATAGGAGATGATGGGAATTTAACCCTGTGGAGATCGCCCCACGTGTACGGTCTTGCCTGCGGGCGCTTGATGTTTGGCCTGTGATTCTCCGAAGCGCCGACTGCGATGCAATTCTTTGCGGAGGCTTCGCGACTGATTGACCCAAGATCGATGCCTCCGCTGCCATCCACATCCACTCCGCCGTTCCCAGCTGCGAAAAGTACGACCATATCCTTGTGATCCCACAAGAACTGATCAATGGCATCAGCGGCTCCTCCTTCGTACGCTCCTGGCCCGCTACCGTAGGAGTTAGTATGGATTCGGGCGCCGTCGTCGTACGCCTCCTGAAATAAGTTTTCATACGCTCTTATCCCTTCCAGCCTTGCTACGCGACCTCCGTTGACTACGACCCATCCGGAGAAGATTGATTGCATAACCAACGTTGCCGCCGAGGCTGGCGCCTCAATGAGCCCTCCGTTCTCAGGAGAGTCGCCAACACCGAGGACGGAACCGCAGACATGAGTGCCATGCCCAGTTATGTCATTGGTGAGTCCCGGACGACCACGATCGTGAAGCTCCTTCACCCGCCCCTCAAATGCGTAGTGGCAGCCTGCTTTCTCTCCGATGTCAAAACCACTGTCTGCAACAGCAACTATTTGACCTTCGCCCTTATAGGGAGTATCGTTGATGACGACGTCCGCTTTGAGGATGCTTCGAGCGACATCGTTGAATAGCCGCGGTTCAGGACTGGAATTAATGTATCTTACGGCGTCTACCGCGGCAAGACCGTTCAGTTGTTCCTTGGCAACTTCCAAATGAGCCCTGCCATGCGCGATAGTCACTGCATCCACTTCCACGTGCGCCGCTTTGGCAAGCTGCCCTCTCAAGTCGTCGTCGTCTTCAACATCGTCATGCAGGATAACCTCCACAGAGAGCTTGGTCTCCGCTTCCGCTTCTTTCAACTCTGCCTCCACGACACAGCTGGGCTGATAAACATTTGCGTAGTTGACGTAGTCGAGGGAGCGTATGACATTGAGGTCGGTGGGCTTGTAGCCGCAAAGGTAAGTGTTCTCACCGACGTACTCCTCGATATTCACGCCCAGATTGAGCAGTTCTTGCTTCTCAGGGCCTTTTAGAGGCTTTCCCTTCGTCTGAACGAGGATGTAGTTGGAGTTCGATGCGTCTTCAGCCTGTTCGCCAAGATTATGAAGGCCGGGCTGATTGTTTTGAAGCTGAAGGCTAGGAGCTTGTGCCGGCAGGTCAAGCCTGTTACCGTTGATGGTGATTGAACACATGATCAATGAATTGCTAAAGATGTCTTTAACGCTTTGCAGGTGGGTGTGAATGCGGATAGAGTAGGTATTAGACTGCCCTCTTTAATTTATGTTTTTCCACAGAGCCCCTCACCCAGCTGCCCAGGAACGGCTGAGCGTATAATTTTCCAGCTACCAGCCTCTTCGCCTGGGCCGTGGAGCTGAAGGTGGGAAATCGCAAAAGCCTTACACGCGCCAAGCGGAGCAGGGCGAGGCGAAGGCTGAACAATGTCTTACAGGATCCTCTCAATCAGAGTCACTGGACGAGTCGCTCGCCAACCTTTACCATGCCGAGACATACAGAACACGGCATGGCACCAGGCTGTCTGGAAACGATATCTCGCTTTCCTGATGCACATTTTCCGGAAACAAAACCATTCCATCAACAAGCGCTGCCAAGGCAGTCTGGCTACCCTTGCCGCAACCTCCCAGTGCAATCGTTACATTCAGCCCATTACAACATCTCACTCAAAAGCTCCCGACCGACGGAATCTTCCTCTGTTTTGTCTACGTTTGTTCTTAGCGCCTTCTATGCACGCGCACTGGCTCATCGACAGTTCGGCTTAGCATCGCTCCACCTCCACACATTTGCTGAAACGGGCTGTAAGTCCCTGCCCGATCTGAATAGATGTACGGCTGAGGCCTCGGATGGCTGTTAGTACTGCAGGTGCATATTCTCGTTCGAGAAGGCTCTTGTCCCCGACGCTTTGGTATTATCAGCCAGCCACAAGGAGAAGGATATGAAGGAATTCCGGCTAATCTAGTACTAAGACGAAAAGCAGAGCTTAGCTTTAAAAACCGACTAAGGCGCGTCTACAAAGCGGCTCGTACAGCCTGAGACGGAAAGAAGCCTTTCTATATACCTTAGATGCTTCAGCGGACGATAGTTACACGAATTTTCTAAATTCTTCCTATAACTACCTATTACAGAGTTCTAGATAAGCGTCTATAAAATAATAAAGTTAAATTAAACTCTAGTAAGAATAAAGAAATAAAGATATTAGTAAGAGATAATTTTATTATTACTAGTTATATTTATATATTAGAATCTATATTTATAATATTCTAAACTAGTAAATATCTATAGTTTAGGTTATAGAACTAGCTATAGAGTAATTTGCTATAGTTCTATAAAGTAAATAGAATAAATTAGCTATTAGTAAAAAAAAAAAAAAAATATATTTATATAATAAAGTAAATACTATAAAGAGTAAACTAGTATAATAGATAATCAATATTCTAGATAGTAGTTACTATATTACTTCTATTCTCTAAACTTATTATAGAATTTATTAAGTATCTATTTCTTTTATAATTTTATTATAATTATATACTGTTACAACCTTATAGGATAGGACCGGCGCCGCCGGTATGAGGCCGAATAATAGCTAGCACAGGCTAGCCACCACGTGACTGCTAGCTACTACTAGTAGTAAGAACCACGTGATTAGGGATAGATAGTAAGGCTAGTAGAGGATAGTAGTACTAGCACTACTAGCTATAGCTAGCCGCGGATGGCACTAGGTAGTATATAGGAGGCACCATTCTCGTTTATTAGAATAGGGTGCTTAACTTAAATAAGAATCTAGTATTCTTTATAACTTAATCTAATCTTACTATGTAATATTAATCCTCACCTTATTAACTATCTCTTAGCACTACTCCCTCTCTCCTTAATTAGGACCCCAGCCTTTATAGTAACTTCTATTATCGTAAGGTAACCCTCGTTACACTTTAAGCACCACCCTTATAGAGTACCTAAGAGTCAACTATATCTACTAGTAGATCTATTAGAGGTACGGCACCAACCGTTACTATTAAAAAGAAGAGCGTTAAAGTTAAGACCCCAAATAAATATTACAGAGAATGAGGAGAACTTAACATGTTCCTTCTCTAATACAACCTCTACATCTAGCATTACTAGGAGCGTTTCCAAACAGAAAGTGAGGTGATGTTTACTACCACCTACTTACGCGGAAAGGCATTCAGATAGATCCAACCGTTTCTTAAGGACTTCCTAGAAGTTAGAGCAGCTAATAGGAACGATAAGACTAAGGTAATATTTAGCAATTAGAAAACGTTTAAAGTAAAGATCGGCCGAGTATTTAGAGATATTAACGAAGAACGTACTACAGAACGAGAATTAATAAGCCTAAGGTAGGTGGGGGCTACAGCCGCCTACGCCTCTTAGTTTTAAGGGCTAGCCGCCACCACGAATTAGGACAACCACACCCTAACCGCGTAGTACTATTGAGGATTGAAAGACGACGTTAAGGATGATATTATTAGAGGGGAAAGACCTAAGAAGTTATAAGACATAATCGATGTATTAATTCACATTAATAACCGGCTATACAAATAATGTATGGAAAAGAAATATTAAAACGCACTAGTCGCGGTGGGTAGACGAGACCCCCTAACTCCTAAAAACAAGTAACCCTACTATAGGCTCTAACCTATAGACCTTAACGCCACGGAGAGACGTCTAGGACGTTTTAATAAGCAGCGATCGTAAAAAGGGCGACCACCGCCCTTAGGTAAAAAACCTTTTATAGGAAAGTGTTTCAACTGCGACCGTACAGGATATGTGGCACGAGACTATAGATAGCCGAAGAAAAGATAAACGCTAGCTCAGACTAATAGTCCTAGGAAGACCGGATAACTAGCCACCATGGTGGCTAGCCACGATACTATATCCTAGACGGTATACTATAACAATAGCTACCGCACGCACTAAAGTGATAAGGACGGATCGGGCTAGTATTTGAAACTACCACGATCGAAATAGGCCTTATAGGTCACGAATAAAGGGAAGGCCTATGATACAATAGGCACCCCCAAACCGATACCCGAAGTAAATATAGAAAGCGACTTCGAGGAGGTTAAGTCCGACAATAGATCCGAAAAAGAAGAACTTATCGAAACCCTAAGGATCACAACAATTCCAACCCAATAGCTCGGGCCTGAATTGGTCCTAGGAAAGTACTTAGTCAAGCTATGGGAAGAAGTATGGGATGAAGTCTCTGCAGCCTATAGAACGAACATGAGAAGCTAGTAGATAAAGGACACCTAGGGTTAGGGTTAGGGTTAGGGTTAGGGTTAGGGTTAGGGTTAGGGTTAGGGTTAGGGTTAGGGTTAGGGTTAGGGTTAGGGTT